ACGAGAAGTCATTTTCGACATTAGAGAGACGTAATGCCCTGATAATGAACCTTTGAAGAGATTAAACCATTTCGCATTGTATGTATCTTTCTCATGTTTAAACAACATTCGGCTGAAACAACTCTAAAAAAGAAAAGAAAAACCAAGAAAGAAGGAATGTTGCAAAAATGATTATGCAAGGTTGATTTACTACACAAGTGAGACTCTTTACATGGAATTAAGTAAGATAGAGCTATCAACTCAAATGACTTGGTGTTTAAGGCCTAAACAATCGAAGCCATAAGGACTTACAACACAACAATCATAATATTCAAAGCATAAACTATTTAAATAAATTAAAACAACCCTAAAATAGTCCCTAAAGTGTAAAAAATAGTAGCTAAAATCACGTTAAAAGAGCACAAAAGATAGGCAAAAACAAAAAGATACAAAGCTAGTAAGCAAAGCTAAGCAGATGTGGCTAACCCCTCAACTTTTGGGACTTCTAAACCATATTTTAGACTCTGAAAATAGTCCAACAACAGTCCAAAAACAACGCTAAAATAGTGGCTAAAATTAGAGAAATAAGTGAGAAACACAAGGATATAAGCTTGGAATAAGATTTAAGAAAGGGTGGTTAACCCCTCCACATTTGGTAGCTCTTAAATCACAAATTTCAGCCCACAAAATAGTCCCAAAATAGCGTACAAAGCATGAAAAAGAAAGGAAAAGAGTAAAAGAGAAATAAGGAAGAAGATGCAAAAGTTATACCTCTTGAAAGAGAGGATACTTGTAGTTAAACAAACTTGATTCCAACACCCTCAAGTTTTATGAAATATGGTTTGGAACTTCAACAAAAGCTTAAAGAACAAGCTTTAATGGTGTATGTATAGCTAAAGAAGGTTTAAAGGTCAAAGGAGGAAAGAAGATGGAATGAGGTCTATTAGCTCTTCAAAGCTTTTGGAAATTTTGCTAACCATCAATTCTGAATGCAAGGGCTTTATTTATAGAAATTGAGCCAATTTGATTAAAAATATCTTCAAAAAACAACAGCTGGCGAATTCCCGCCAACTATCCTGTTTCTCGCCATTGAGACTCGGTCGGGCCCTAAAACACACAGCTGGGCCCAAAAGCACACGGTCGGGCCTAAAAAGCAACTTTGGAAAATTTTTCATTGAGACTCGGTCGCGTCTCAATGAGGCATAATCGGTTCTAAATGGACTCGGCCGGGTCCAAAAATCTGCATTCAAGCCCGATTTCAAATGGGAATATCTCTTTCATTCGAACTTGATTTTAGATGGTTTTTTAGTCTAAATTGAAGCCCCAAAAGTCTAATTTCCAATAGTGGTGGCCTTACATATAAATTCTAAGTGTGCAAAGAGATATGCCTATTTTAGTGAAGGTTGTTCATTTATATCTTAACGGATTTATGCCTAACTTCTTAAACTAGTTTTATTCCCTCCCCTCCTATTTCCTTCAACTCCAAACCCATAAATAAGATGTTTTAAATATTTTTTAAAAAGTTCACCTCCCTTCTATTTATTTCTACTTTGTCCTTACTCGGTTTACCGAAAAGTGCAATGTTTTAAACGAAATGCGAGCCTCAGAATATCGTAGAAGCATTTGGAAAAATATTTTGAAATGAGGGTTTTAAGATCTAAAATAGTTTGGCCAAAATGGGGTGTAAGGTTAGGATTATAGCTTGAATCCAAATTTTTTCGCTGAGAATTCAAAAAATTACACAGTGTAACTTTCATCATCGGGTGTTCGGAATAAAGTGCCCTAATCTTAAGGGTGGTGAAAAATGGGGTGTCTATAGTGGTTGAATGGTAGGACGACCGGGCGGTCGACTGGCTAGAGAAAATTTCAGCCTTTTTGCTTCGGTTCAGTCCAGCTTTGCTTCGGTTCCCGACCGGTCTTAAACACTTGGCCAAAATATGTGTAGGGTTGGGAAAAAAAGCCCAAATTCCATATTTTTTACTGTGGATTTTGTGAAAAACACATTCTTATTTTCATCATCGGGTAATCAAAAGAAAGTGCTCAAGTCTTAGGATCGGTCAAAATTGGGTGTCTACAACATACATGGCACGTATATCGAGGTAGAACGTGCGTGTGCACATTAGTTGTAAGTGCACACGTTAGTTGTGTGTGCGCACATCCAAGCGTGACATTTTTGGTAACATATCTTGGTACATTTTTTGAGAGGGACGGATGGAGAAAGTGATGGAATCTTAAGAGGAGCTTCAGAACCTTCTCCTCTACTTATATAAGAAGCCCATCCCCTCCTTTCAAAGGGTTAGAATTTTGAGCCATTCTTGTGAGTTTTGAGAGTAAAACCACTACCTTTTTCCCCTTTCTTGCCTTAACTCCGAAAATAACCCACCAAGCAATAACCCCAAACACTAAAAATACTCTAAGGACTTGGAAAACTCGAACCAAACTCAGAACTTAAGTTTAAGGAAGGCTTGCAAGTAAGGAACTTGACTTTCCTTGCATTATTCTTCGCATTTTATTCGGTTTAATCAAACTAGCAGGTAAAACTCCTTTACCTCTTGTATTTCAAGTGCTCTTTTATTCTATTTTTCAATGTTTATTCATGTTAGGATGTTAGCTTCTCATAACATCACGTAGTTTTTTCAATTTTTTTTATAGCTTTTTTGCATTTATGCATATTTTCTTTTATTCCATTAGAACAACATGTTTTTAGATTTATTTTAATCATATCATGAGCATGCATGGCTTGGTTTGAATCATCATATAACTAGTTTATATTTTTACTTTTTATTTGTTATGTGTATTTTGTGCATATTCATCATTTTAGTAACCTCAAACCTAACCTAGGACCGTTCTTGTATGTATTAGTTATATTTTAGGTCATATCTATTTCATGTCCTACATGTAAGACGCGTAAGTGGACATCTAGCTAAGTCTTCTCAATCTCCATAGTATATGTGTTCTTGATTGCATTGTTCTTTCACTAATCCAAGTTAGTTGATCTTTCTATGCAAAATTGCTTGTTTTATTTAATTTTTATGAGTGTTGTTTATTTTAATTTATGTTTAAGGCCATTGATTATTAAAAGTCCACTTTCAATAGAAAATCACTTTTTGACAAATATGTGGTTTTACTCATTCAATCTAAAATAAATGATACTCATTTTATTCAAATCATCTAGTTTTAGGTTAGTTAACGTAGTTTTAGGCTTAAAAATGAATTTGTATGAATAATTAACCACTAAAATCATATATTAGAAAGTTAATAGAAGTCAATCTTCGGATTGGACAAAAGGTGGCTGCTATCATTCAATGACCTTCCTTTTTTGTACATAACCTCCTGAACCTAGAGTTTTTTAGTTATGATGGACCAGTCATCGACTTAGTTTTTATTGTTAAAAGTTTCTTAATTCCCTTTAAAAATTAAGTAGCGACTCTTTGTTAGTCAAAACAAGTCAGTGTGGGAAGCATGTCTTAAGACTCAAAAAATGTAGGACATCCACACCATATGCCCCTTATAATTAAAAAAGAAAATAGCATGATTTCATATTCTTTGAGTCATAACTAAAAAAAATGTCATAACTAAACACAACATGAGGCATAACTAAAAATCTCATGAGGTATAATTAAAGAAGAAAATGACATAATTAGGTATGCATATCTCTTTTAAGGGCGTGTATATAACTCATAATGAGTTGAGCTTCTCTTATATTGAGATCTCAACATGAGAGAACTGGAGGTGTTTGTGGAGCTCACTATAAGTCTTGTTTTGATGATTTGAGTTGTTCATAGTTTAGGACTTGTTAAATAGAATATCCATGAAAAAAAATCAAAATGATCAGATATTGGTAACTATATGTTTAAATCAAATTTGCATTATAAAAAATGGATAGTTATTCTTAAAATTATATTTGTCGTCAATTTTTTTTAAACAAATATGATTTAAACGTATAGTTATCAATAATCAATCATATTAATTTTTTATATGAATATTCTACTCAACGCATTTTAAAAAAAATGAATAGTTTAAATTATTAAAATTAATTTCAAAATAGACTTGCTAAGTTGTCATTTGACAAAAACTTTTTTTAGTTGGTTTTTTTGAGTTGTGATTTTTTAACTTAGGACTAAAAAATTCGTTTGGTTTGACCTTCTTGATTTTTTGACTTTGGTATGAGAAAAAATAAAATAATTATAATTTAGATATGATATTTTATCTTATTAACTTTTTAAACTATTTTATCTTTTAATAGCTAACCTCCTTAGTCAAACGAAACCCAAGTCAGTAATTGTTTGAGATGTGTTACATAAGTGCACTTTTTGACTTTTTGGTTAAAAAAGTAAAAAAAAAAATGATATACGTTAGAGATAACTTTTTGACTTTTTACGAAAAAATGTGTAATAAAATCAAAATGATCATTTTACCCTTTTGACTTTTTGGTTAGTTGAATTCAAATGACAAAATAATAATTTTTTCCCAGTGGCTTCTCCTATAAGTTATCCTTGAATAGTATAGACTTTTTAATTTTAGTAATTTTTTGACTTTTTAATTTTTTTAAAATTTATCCCAAATAAAACCTTAATCAAAAACTTGTGTATATATGGATCTCATATCTATATAAAAAAAATTTAATAAATCATTTGGGTGCTAGTATAAGAGCTTCTTTGGGAAGTATGAATTTGAGATTTTTTTGGCTAAAATAATCAAAAAAAATAAAATAAAATGAGCTTTGTAATCCATTAAAATAAAACATTACATCTAATTTATAATCATTACATTATTCTTTTTACAAAAAATGCAAAATTTTTTTTCCAAACGAGACTTTGGGGTGCTTTGACAATCCAGTGCTTTTGGTCTTTTTACCTATTTTACATCACATTACCTCTCATATTTTTTATCTACAAAAAAACAAATAGACTAAAAAATTAAAAAAATTAATTTTTTACCAACCGCTCGAATCACCACTTTTAACCCGGATTAAAATAGCCATCCGAAATTCAGAAACTTCTCTTTGTACACGCACACGTACAACATGTCTGCCAGCAGCAGTCAATCTTGGTCCACGCTCTTTCTTTCTCTATGATTCTCACTGTATATAATTTGGGGGGTGGAGGTGGGGAAGTTTGAGCCGGAATGCTGGCGATGCATGGGGTGGAGTTCTTCATCTTGGCGTTCATAGCCGCCGCCGCCGCGTCGGTGGTGTACGGCGGTGGATTTCCGGCGAGTCTTCTGACTCTGGAGAGGGCTTTTCCGGCGAACCAGCATGGCGAGCTTGAGGTTCTCAGAGCTCGGGACCGATCAAGACACGCCCGAATCTTGCAAGGTGTGGTCAGCGGCGTCGTCAATTTCTCACTCCTCGGAAACATCAATTCCTGGGCGGGTAGTGCTATTAAAATCCACTAATCCTCTCTCTCTCTCTCTCTCTCTCTCATTCTTAGCAGTTCATAGTTTGTTCAATTTGTTGTAAATTATGCTTCTTTGTTTCATTATTGTATTGTATCATTTGGCTCAAATTTAAGTTGTTGCATAAAATTTTGGGGTTTTCGCTGTTCTGTGTTCTTGATTTTTCATTTGTGATATGGGTCCTTGATTTTGATGAATTTCTGGTATTCATGTTTCTTCTCTTTTTGTCATCACTTTCCTTAATTTTTGTTCTGATGCAAACATTAGTGGGTAAAACCTGACTGGTATCTATTGAATATAGTTCAACTCTTGTATTCTTGTTTATTTACCCTTCCTGGGATTTCATGATCATTATTTTATTTAACTTTTGTCCATTACAAACTTCAATTTTGTGATAAATGTATTATGGCATTGACTTATGCTTCATTTTGGGCTTTTACAATAGGCTTTATTTTACAAGAGTTAAATTGGGTTCTCCACCAAAGGAATTCAGTGTGCAGATTGATACTGGAAGTGACATCGTGGGTTACTTGCAATTCCTGCAATAACTGCCCCAAATCAAGTGACCTTGGTGTAAGTACTTGTTTTGCTACTTAATTTATTCTTTGATCTTATCAAGTTGTCAGACTGACTATTAAGTTCTGATACTATTTTGTGTGAGTGTGTTGCAGATTAAGCTCAATTTCTTTGATCCTGCCAGCTCAGCAACTGCTTCTCTGGTTTCTTGTTCAGATCCAATATGTGCTTCTATAATTCAAACTGCGGCTGCTGAATGCTCTGCTCAGAGTAATCAGTGCGGTTATTCATTTCAGTATACAGATGGAAGTGGGACGTCTGGTTTTTATGTATCTGATTTTCTGTATTTTGACACAATTATGGGGCCGTCTTTGGTCACACTCTTCGCCCCAATTGTTTTCGGGTAAGCTGTATGACTTTTGAAGGATGTGTGTGTCAATGTGGGACAAAATAACTATTAGATGGAGAGAGTAGATGGTCAAAAGAGTGAAAAAAAAGCCTTCGTGATAGACTAATATGTGGTTTCCATAATTAGCCTTTTTTTTTTATTATTTTAGTTTACAGAACAACCATAAGCAAAGTGACATTGGCTATTTCAACATGATTTCACCAATCTTCTAATTGAAAAAAAATAGTTAACTTAGGGTTCATTTGGGAATTGACTTTTTTAGTGGCTTTTTGTCTAAAACTTCGTGGCCTTATGTTCTATGACAAAAAATCAGTGGTGTTCATTCTCTTAGTAATTCTACATTGGTAAATGGGGAAGAGGAAGAAGAGGATTATAAACTGGATGAGGACCAAAATTTCTAATGGTAACTGAAAAAAGAAGGATGAAGGTCAATTGAAGGAGGATTAGAGAAGTAATGATCTTAGCAGAATGTATCTTATATGTTATATCTGCAATGGCTTGGCAACATATCAGGATTGAGGAGTTGAGTGTACACTTCAAAACTTCCGTCCTCTTTTTTCTATTGTGGTTGTTTTATCCCCATATCAATGTTCATCTTTAGTTTTGTTGGGTGGATTTTGAACATTTGATTGGCTGTTTTGGAATTTGTGAACAGGTGTAGCACCAATCAGTCTGGGGACTTAATTATGCCAGATAAAGCAATAGATGGGATTTTTGGGTTTGGTCGACAGGGTCTGTCTGTCATATCACAGTTGTCATCCCGAGGGATTACTCCCAAGGTTTTCTCCCACTGCTTGAAAGGAGATGGCAATGGTGGCGGATTATTAGTTCTTGATGAGATTATGGATCCAAACATCGTCTATAGTCCCCTTGTCCCGTCACAGTATGTATTCTGTGTTGCACAAACTTTCTTCTTCTTTGTTTGTTCACTTTTTCATGGATATCGTTATCATATGTGGCAGTGGACAATTCAAGTGTGCTTCACACAAGGGTTTTGATTCAATACAATTGTAGCATTTGCATGTAACATATGTTTACTAAATCAATTACTCTTTCAATTTAACCATCCGGTGCAATTTGATTCCAGTAATATCACTTTCACACCTTAATAAGCCAATTAGGCATGCTGATTTATCTGATTTCAAACATATATAGTTTATTTAAATATCTGTCTGGATGATTTATAGGTCATGGTTGGGGTTTAAGATGGTATTCAGACATTTAGGATAGCTTCAACTTAGTTCTCACTTCTCAGGTCCAACTTTTAAGAGACTTAACCTGCTGCTTTTTTAGAAGATAATGTTGATTAGATGTTCTTCTCTCTTTTGATATTCGTGTATGTATAAGATCCTATGTCATTGTGAATTCTGCCACGGCCTTCCTGTTATCATTCTTCTCTCCAAATCCATGTTCCCCATATATGTTCCATTAGCTCAGCAAACTTTTCTATATGACCATTAAGTTCTCTAACCATTTTATTTTCCCCTTTTTTTGTCCCTTTAGCAACTCCTCCTGTTATGTTATTCAAATTTCCTGAATTATGTGTAAATTGTGTTGAAGTGTTACTTGGGGTTCATGAGCACTAATTACATTGATTATATAAATTCCTATTTCAAGTAATTATTAAAAATATCATCTGCTTAGTTCTCATAAAAATTGCAAATTATTTTAAAATGTTGTATCATGACCTTTCTATGTCTATCTTCTACAACATTATAAAGTCTATATCATGTATTATTTATTTCTGTTATTTCTCTCCTACCCACTTAGTTTATTCTATGCATGCTTTGTTAGATTTCCTTTTAACTATATTTGTTAACAGCCTAACACGTTGTCCCTTTAGCTTCAAAAGGTCGTAGTTTCCCAGTTCATCCAAATGTTGATACATCATGCCCATTTAGAGAAGATTTGACCTACACACCTGGCCTTATTCCACCACACCCTGTTTTGTAAGACCGCATATGACCGACCCTAGTATTTGCTTGCCCATTTTTGTTGTAACTGGTTTTATACTGGTTCTCAAAAAAAATTATTTTATTGTAACATTCTTCTTTTCCCAAGACTTGAGAGTGGATAAATAAGCAGTAATATCCAAAGAATGCGATGGATTTGTCTATTTCAACCTATCAGCTTTGCAGGCCTGTTAGCACATTGTAGGATGTGCGATTTTTACTTCATGTTATTTGTCCTTAATGTCAAACAAAGGACACTTGACCCAAAGGGTGGAACTTTTGGCAAGCGGCTACATCTCATGAAGTGGAGGGTGTTGAACTTGAAACTCTTTTCCTCCGGGTAGCACTCCACGTAGACTAATATTATTGATGCATGTTGACGGTTGCTTACAATGTGCAGTTAAGCCAAATTTTTGGATATTTCTTTGGCAATAAATAAATTTAAAAAAAAAAAGGAAAAAAAAAAAAGAAGGATTCATTGACATACTGCTAAAAAAAAATTGATAAAAAAAAAACGGATGAACCATCTTGGTAAATGGAGTTCATGGAGGGATTGAAGGATGCTACAAGGGCTTGGAGGTGGCCAATACCTGGTGCTAGGTCTTTAGTTGACAACTTAGAGAGAAAAAACTAAAGTTTTGCTGCAATAAAAGCTTGTGCTTTTGAATGAATTTTCTTTTGTGAAGCAGGACTGCTATTCTCATTTCTTTTCAGTATTAATTAGTCCACTATCTAACTAATTAGTCATATGCAAAGAAAGATGTGGAAATTCGGAGAATGTGAATATTTTATTCTTCGGCATGTTTGATATTTTTTTTTTTCTGTGTCTCAAAATTTTCAGGTCTCATTATAATTTGGATCTCCAGAACATTGCTGTCAATGGCCAATTGTTGCCTATTGATCCAGCAGTGTTTGCAACATCAAGCAACCGAGGAACCATTGTTGATTCTGGAACAACTTTGGCATACCTGGTGGAAGAAGCTTATGATCCTTTCGTCAATGCTGTAAGTTCGTTTTCCCTTTCTTTTCTTCAGAATTTCTATTTTATGGGAGGGGACAAAATCAAGGGAAACTTGAGGCATATAAACTGGAGCAAATTTCCAAAAAGCCCTTTAAACAGCATTTATGTCTAAGGTGCTAGGGAAAAAACCACATTAATGTGTAAGGTATGCTAAATAGTTGTACAAGGCCCCTTTTGGTCAAGCAAAATATTGTAGAAAGTGTAGGGAATAGGGAATATATTTAAAAAAATTTAGGAATTTGGTTAGGAAGGGAAAAGTTTTCTGGAAAATAGGAACCTTGTAATTGCATAATTTCTAGAAAACATGACTTATATTTCCTGCAAAAACATGCTTTTTTCTTTTTGCTCGTGAAAGTGATCTCTACTATTTGGATTCCCACTTTGTCCTTTCTTCCTATAATTGACATCTCTCCCATGGACATGAATAAAGGTTAGTTAATGCAAATAAAAAATATTATTTTTTAACTTCCATAATATTCAGACAGTAAAATCTAATTTTGTCGTAATATTCTGGATAAATTTTCTACCCAACCAAATGCATGTTGGAAGTCACTTTGCTTGGTTTTGGTTTCTAGAATTCACTTTTCAAAAAAATTATATTTTTTTGTTTTTCGTATTTTTTTATTTTCACTGATTTTTTTTAATATTTTAAGTATTTTTTTTTTAATTTTTGGAAACACCTAACATAAATACACTTGAAAAGTATAATTTTTGTGAAAAAAATCTTTAAAAAATTCACTAAATACCAAAAATAAAAAAATACGAAAACTCAGTATATTTTTCGTATTTTTGTGTATTTATTAATTTGTTAAAATATTTTTTCACAAAAAATTTACTTTTGTAGATACATCTAAGTAAGATGCATCTAAAAAAGTAAAAAAATTACTTAAAATTTTAAAAATTTTCACTAAAAATAAAAAACACGAAAAATAAAAAACTCAATTTTCAAAAAATTGAATTTAGAAAATTGAAAGCAAACACGTTGACAATTTTTCTTTTCATTTTCCATTCATTCATTCATTCACTTTACTTTTTTTTTTTTCTTCCCCTTTATGTGGGTATCTATACCGTGCCCGATATGTGGCGAGCCCTGTGGGCTTCACATCATCACTGTCAGCATCTCCATGTGCCAGACCCCAAGGCTCCACGATGTCCTTATCGGATTAATTGGGATTGTATGCCTAGCTTAAACAGGGGCATGTACTGCTTACTACTATCATAGTCATCACTTGGCAACTGGGTTGGGAGCTGGGCCCAGTGTTTTTAAAGGCTCAAGGCGCACTAAGGCGCTGAAGGTCTCTCGGCGGCCTAGCGCAAGGGCAAGGAGAGGCGCGAGCTTTATTGAATAGAGCGCACAGTTTAGTAAAAAATAGAAAAATTAAAATATAGGTGTTTTTAAACAATTTCAGTTACTGTTTAATTATACATTTTAGTTATAATTATGTAATTATACATACTAATTAAAAAATATACATAAATTAATTAATTATTATGATTTTAAGTAATAAATAAATAAATAAATTATTATAATACATAAAAAAAAATGAATTAATTCATAAATAAATTATTTGATTATTGATTAATAAAAGATGTGCTCAAAGCCGTGCCCCATCAAAAGGGTTGCATCAAAGGCGCCCAAATCAGAGCGCCATCAAAAGGCCATCAAGGCGTGCCCAATCTTTCAAAAGGCGTGGGCCAATCTTTTAAAGGCGTGTGTCTTGTGCGTCAGTATCTGTTGTATGCTATTTAACCGAGGTGTAGGCCGGGTGCTGGCTAAAAAACTCTCTGTAATACGCTTCCCCGTTTTCCCGTCGAGAGAACGTAAAACTTGAAAACTCTCACTTGGTAAAAACTCTGAAACGCTTGTTTTTCGGAGAGAGATATCCCCGGTACCTCGTGTAATACGCTGTTTGACAGAAAATGGCTCGTCTTTCCGTGGTCTGCTCACTCTCTTTCCCAACCTCAATGATGTCACAAGAGAATAATGGTCCGGTGCCGTGAACACTCAACCAACAATGCCGGTTTATGCGCTGTTTAACTTTCCGATGCGGTCGGTGGAAGCAAAATGGCAGGTGCAAAACGGATGTGGGGGCTCAGTATACGTGAAGGATGTCGTCGAGTCATGAGGCGTCACAATTGTACGAACGGATGCAGAGTAGGGCATGAGGAAGAAAGTTAATCCAGTGGCGCTGTCCCAACGCTGTATAAGGATGGCGAGCAGAGATGGTAGGTAAAGGCGGAGAATTAGGGCTGAACGGTCAGGCCCACGTGATGTTTCGATTTGGACAGCGTCGCATATGTGGCAGTGGGGAGCAGGGGGGAGTGATGTGCTTGGTGGATTAGGAAGCACAGGGCAACCGGACAAGGACGCCAGGACCCCCCGAGGCAAAAGAAGAAGACTCCCGGCAGGCAGGAGAAATAGGTCGGATGGTGGGTCGGCAGTAGACTCTAAGTTGTGGTGGTGATGGTGTTTGTTGTTTATTTTGTTCTCTATCACTTTACAATTTTTTTTTTTTTTGTTTTTTTTAATTTTTTTTTTGGTGTTGGTGTTAAATGATTATAGGCTATGCAAGACTAACGCAGATCGCAGATATAGGCATCTTCTCCGACAGAGTGAGGCTCGAAAAGTAATATTAAGCCCAGGATTTCCATCCTCATGAGGCCTATATAATATAGTCTCAAGTCCACTCACTGCTGGTAAAGATTTCTTTTTGTGCAAGTGCTTCAGTAAAATTAATCTAGAGGCCTTCTATTTTTTATTTTTATTTTTATTTCTTTTCTGTACCACATTCACTTTAAAACTTTCATTTTTGGGAAACAGTTTAATATTATTTTATTTGGGTTTTTTTTTTTTTTTTTTTTTTTTTTTT